TCGCCGACCACCTCAATATCCTCTAATAAAAGCACATCTCCCAGCTGCTTGAGACTGATGTTCTCCATTTCTCACTTCCAAGGCCGCCTGTCAGTGGGGGGTCCCACCCGCCCCCCACCCCCTTGCTCACCAGGGAGATCTTGCACCAGTCGATGTTGAACTGCGCCCGGAACTTCTTATCGCAGCTGATGACGGGCTCCATCTCTTGGCTGCAGCGCAGCTGGTTCTGCGGCGTCTCTACCTCACGCAGGCAGGACGAGAACGGCACATCGGCACCCACCTTGACGTACACCCTGCGGGCACAGTGGCAGCGCGGTTAGCGGCATGTCGTAAAGCTACATTTTCACATCGATATATCTTCAGTCAAGATACAGGATGAGACAATACCATTTGACTTTTATTGTGCGTTAAAATAGTATGAGCAAAGATTTTAAAGACAGCAATAGTATTCCATTCTGCTTCTAAACAATATAAGAGCTCCAGCTGTGACGTTGCACATAATCCCAGAATTCACAGCGAAAATCAAAACATTCCAGTTAGCGGCATCACACAGGAAAGCTGATGGACAGGAAAGGCATGGAAACACTCACTACGTTTACATGCACGCTAAGAAAATCTAATTATTGTGTTAGTCCGACTAAAACCAGACTTAAAAGTACATGTAAACATGTCAGTCCTACTGAAATCATACTAAATCAAATTAAATTGTGAAGGTGTCCAATTCACCGCTCAACTAAAGGGCGCTTTTCCACCGCACCAGGTACTTCAAGTAGGTACCAAAAGTATGGTACTTCAAGGTTTTGCTTTTCCACTGGCATAAAAAACACCAAATGACATCACAAAGTGAGGCGGGTATTTTATAAAGAATTCGAAAAATATCTGTAGTAGGACTGGACGACGCGCGATATTAATACCGACATCGCATGTTATGCAAATCCAATTCTTACATCGCTAGTCAGCTAGATTAAAATCGGGTATTTTCTTACCTTCAATTTGGTATGAATTTTATAGCGCAGGTACTTGAAGTCTTGCAAAAACATTTTTACTCTGTCATAGGAAAAAAAGCCTAGCAATAATTCTAATGATTATTCATTTTCAAGATTACCTAGTATATGTTTAAAAATACTACCTCTGCTGCTTTTGCATGAGTGTACTCCAAGACAATCATAATTATTTTCATCCCTGCTGTTTAATTCATTCCTAGACAGGTTCATGAGAATTTTTTTGTTTCATAAATACTCCAATATTTATTACTACAAAATCCAATACCGTGCTGTCATAGTATATTATACAAAATACTTTATTTCTTGTTATGCTATCCTAATCTTGTTGTATCTGTTCTTCTGACCAGATCGCAATTAAAGTTTGTGTCACTTCCCTTGTCCACGCACCCTTATTATTGATTTTATTATTTTTTTTATGTCTGTGGCATAATAGGTCAACTGGAAAAAGCCAAATACTAACAAGCTGAAAGGAGTCATATCGCCACCTATTGTAGCAGAGTTGGATATAATTAATAAATCGATTCCCCTCCCGCACATGTATACTGAGACAAGGACAGTAGTCTGATTAAATGGCGTAGTCGAGTTATAGCTGTAGCCTGACTTTGCTGTCCATGTAAACATACTGTCTTTAACTTGGTTCATTTAGTTTTAAAAGTGCCAGATGACTCAGAAGTTCAAAATATTGCAACTTGCAATATTTATTTTATTGAAGCTAATACCTTAAAATGAGGATCTATCTCATTATAAAGCGGGCTTTTTACATTAATGGTTGCCAGGCATCTGTTTGAGCCATTTGCCAAAGAGGATTTAGATTTAGTTCTCAGTCTGTAAGCATTCAGACATAAACTAATGTAATGTCATAAACTGAGGAAAGAAAGAGTCTGTTGATGAGCATAGTGGAGTGAAATGCTTTTATATCGTAGCTGTTTTATTTGACCCATGCAACACAGATACAAGTATAATTAATTCTGTCTTCATTTTGAAACTTCTGCTTGGAATAAACAACTTACTGAACAGAGTAGTTGTACACTTGAAAATTGTATTTGCATTTTGTTTTGACCACACTCTGTTTTAATAAATGTTTGTGACAGCTTGCATGCGTCTTTGACTTACAACTGGACATTTATCCTGCCTTATAGAAATACCGAGATATATATCATATATTGCTGTTCTGCCTAAAAATACCATCATGTGGTTTTTGGTCCATATCACCCTACAAGGCCCCATATTTAACATCTAAGAGGCCACTGATATTGCTATTGACAAGCTAAATGAAGATGTCATTTTAAATTTAATGGCACATGCTTACTCAGATCCAGCGTATGCATGTCATCAAATAAATCAGGTAAAGTATACACATCACTGAAATCCAACATGTTTTTTTTTCCACGCAAAAAAACAAAGGTAGTCTTTAATTAGGTTTATTTTAAAAAAATTGCTCCTTTTAAGAGGTCAAAATGAATGATATTATTCTACAGCTGTTTATTGGGATAATAAAGCCGACGTCTACACAGATGCGCCATGATCTGACTCAAACCTGTGAGAAGCTACTGTAGTCCTTCAATCCCTTCAGCAGCTTCTGAAAGGACCAGCAGGACGACAGCCTGACCAGAGACTCACCCCTCCTTGAGGTCATTGATGGGCAGGGGGACGCGGCCGCCCCTGTCGAGCGCTGACGTAATGTTGATGGCATTGAGACGTTCGGGCTGCCACACATTCTTCACGGCACCCAGGAAGTCTCCTAGCACCTCGCTGGCCAACATTTCCTCCACATTCATGTTCTTGATGAAAAACTCGGCCTGGTACGGCAGGGGAAAATCTAGGGGGGGGGGGCACAGAAGTACTGAGTGACCCAGGACCGAACCGATCGATGCTCGTTGGTGAGGAAGGAAAATCTTTCGTACCAACCTCTGATCCATAATGACAAGCAAGAAACCAACCCTTAATGCCTTATATCTCACATCTCACCCTATTCCAGCTGATACCACATAAATGTCATCTTAAAATGAAGAATAGCCTGATGCATTTTTAAGACTTCCACTGAGAGTATGTAAAAAACACACACTTCCCAGGAGACCATATGAAAATATTGTTGCTTTCATTTAAACTGAGGCATCCGTTACAGAGAAATGTGCTGTCCATTGTAACAAGTATGAAATATTGGTTGCTGTCCCCAGCAGGCAGGAAATTGTTGAGCTCAGTGTTAGAAGATTCACTACAAGTGTCTGGTATTATTTTTCAAGAGGCTGCATAACAAATTTTGTGATCAGCTGAAGTTTTTGGTGGTGGTGTGAGTCGTGGGATTCATCTCTTTTGGTTTATATCACGTCTCATGCCATTTGGGATGAATACATTTTAAAAATAATATCAATGTTTGTGTAAAATGTTGCTGGTTTAATTTTATTGGCTATCCAGGCCTGCGGCGGCTAAAGAGGATTTTCACAGGGGAAGGTCATTGTGTAAAACACAGTACTTGCCCCCTTCTTACCTTCTGTAGAGATGATGTTGATCACCAGGTTGTGCCTGGCGGTTTCGAAAGTCCGCCTGTTATAGGCCGTAATCTGCAGTGCGTAAAGATGAAAGCTGAAACCCGCATCAAGACAGCTAGTCCACTGCGTTTGCCTGAATGAGATTCAGGCATAACCAGGAATGTCCATCAGAGCTCAGATCACATAAATATAGGGAGCAACTACAGGGGACAGAAATGCCATTACTGCAGTCCTAAACCTTAAGGTGTGCTCTGCTCTGATTGGTCCATATCACAACTGATAAACATCTGCTTCAGGATAATGGAAGTATCACAAGGATGTGACACAACGAACAATCACCACAGACTTCATTAAATGCCATGACATAACACACAGAGATGGTTGCCATGTTTGGATCTTCATGACCGATGTGAATGAAGGAGAGTACCTCGATAACGGTGAGCTTTCCCACGTGCTCCGCTGTGGGAGATCCGTAGAGGACCCCGTCGCTGTGAAGAGTCCTCTGGATGTAGCGAAGCCACCCCGGTCTATCCGGGTAGCCCATCAGATTCGTGTTAAAGGTGATGGGGTCATTGCTGGAGTCACCTGACCCATGTAGCAAAGAAACCCAGAAAAACAAACTCATTTATGGCCAGTGCATTACAACTCAGCCTTTAAGATAACATTGCCACTTTCTCATATATACAAAGCAGACTGACTTCATAGCCACTGTCATTTCTCTAAGGATGTATATGAAAATGTGCATGTATGATACATTATAGACAAAAGTATTGGGACACCAGGCCATTACACCTACAGGAACTGTTATGACATCCCATTATAAATCCACAGGCATCAATATGCAGGTGGTCCCCCCTTTGCAGCTATAACAGCTTCCACTCCTCTGGGAAGGCTTTCCACAAGATTTCGGAGTCTATCTGTGGCAATTTGTGAGGTCATGCACTGATGCTTGATGTGAAGGACTGTCTCTAGTTCATCCCAAATGTGTTTGATGGGTTTGAGGTCAGGGTTCTCTGTGGGCCAGTCAAGTTCTTCCACACCGAACTTACCCAACCATGTCTTTATGGACCTTGCTTTGTGCTCTGGGGCACAGTCACGGTGGAACAGAAAAGGGCCTTCCCCAAACTTTTCCCACAAATTTGGAAGCATAGAATTGTCCAAAATGTCTTGACATGCGTATGTATGCATGTATTTATGTATGTAGTAGTGAGATATAAGAAGCATGAGAGGATAAGCTGCAGGGTGACCTATAATAAATCAGGTGTGGCTATAAATGTCGCCGTTCAGTTTCCCTCACGGCTGATAAGATGAGGAGCTTAACTAATGAGGCAACCGAAATGAGAGCGGTTAGGGTACCGTACCCGGCTTTGGGTAAGGAGGAAACTCCCCCTTGAAGTATTCTCGTTCCAGAACATGGACGAACAGAACCCCCGCCGAGGGGTACACATTGCGGTCCGCGTGCGACTTTGAAAGGATGGTGACCACTGTCGGGGAGAGAGTGAAAGAGAGAGAGGCGTCAACAGACACTCTCAAACGTGCCGAGATTTTTCTCTTTTTATGAACTGCGTCCTGGGTATTTGGCCTCACGCTGCTTTCCGGGTCCGGATTCAGAACCAGCGTGTGGCTCGTCCCTGCTGCCGGATTTGGAAAGAGGGCCTTTTTTCATTATTTTTTTTTTCTTTCCAGCCCGCTATGCGCGGCTCAGGAAGTGGGCGGTATTATGATGTGAGAGACGCTGGGCATTCCGTGAGAGCTGGTGACAGCGGCCCGGCGAGGCTCACATTCCACAGCCGGGACGCCCCCATGTAACGTGCACCCCCTCCTTGCACTGTAAATGTACCCTGTGTTTCATTCACTGGACACGCTCAAAGGAGGTCCATTCTGTTATGTCTCATGACAACATTAAAACAGATTATGGATTATCAGTATAACATACATCAGTAATATGGCAGGTGGACTGAGAGAGACACTGCATTGTCTGACCAGGATGCCAATTCCCCCAGACATATTATACGGAGCAAAGTGCGTCATTGCACGCCTTTTCACAACTACACTGTGCTGACACACAGACAGACTGAGTGAGGAGGTAACATTCAGTATTCCCACAAGATTAGTGCATACTATGGTTAAGAAAAGCAAGTATTGATTAATTTTAAAAAAAAAACTAGCCATAGAATACCTCACATTTCATTTCACATCCCACATATGCTTTTAATTGCATATTTTTATGCAAAAATTAAAATTAATAACATTCTGGATATATTTGGGGGGGGGTTTGATTTAAATTAATGCAATGAGCAGCCCAGCAGTTTCCGACCAAACCTCTCACAGCTTGCGGTCGCCATACATGCAGTGCCATGGTCCCAAACACAATGTGTGTCGGGTGACAGTCACAGACTGTCACAAGAGGCAGCGGGTACATCCAGGTCCAAAGGTTCTACCTGATCTGTTATTCCAATGAGGGGACAATGGCAGAACAGTAACAGTGTTCACTTGTGAGGCCACATGGGAAATAACCAAGACAGAACGCAGAAACGCAAGGCAATGAGAACGCGGACGGGCCAACAACCCCCATCCCCGATCAACAGCAGAGTCAAATCCACTTTACTTGGTACCGGAGGATTTTAACTAACCTGGAGAAATCCAACTACTGCCCGGTTCAGAGCCAAGAGAGCATTATGAATGAAAACTACAACAGCCAATCAGAGGCGTCTAAATGCTCAGATTAAGGTGTGGCACAAATTTAACAATTCTAAGAATCCAAAGAAAGGTTCTATTCTCAACCACTGTAAATACAAAGCAAGGAATGATGTTTGACTTAAAGCCTCAAATAAACAAAATATGCACTTCTTGGAAATAACATGTCTATTCACAACTGCCAAAGGTCATTTATACGACATATTTGGCAGATATAAAAACAGTATCTTAGTCTCTCCATACATTTGTTCCCCCACACGGATGCCATTTCATGGCAAAATCTCAGAAACCGCAAAGGTGCAGCAAAAGCATCCAATACATGATTTAAATAGATAGTCCTTTTGTTTTGTTTAGAATTCAGCTTTTAATAATCTATTTTTTCCCATAAGACCCCATGTGTCCTGATATATCCTACCACAAAGGTTAACTGATCTGTTGCCTTAGGACCTCACTGTACTTCCACCATCAGCTAACCTGCCGCCCTCCCCCATATTAGCAATCCTGTTGGTGGACGACCCCAAGCGGCCGAGAAGGCCTGTTCCAAAATGTCTCCACAGGCCACTGCAGCTCCCCCACCTAAGCGAACATCCTGCTGCCTCACTAGCTCAGAAACAGATCAAAAGCTACGTCTGGGTATGACTGTATCGGATCTGTTCATATTTCAGGCTTTGTATACAACACGACCTAAGCTTCACGACTGCCTTTTAATATATTATCCATTAAAGGTTAATGCTAAACTCCACCATCCCTCTTCAGTCTTTTTTATTTTGCATGTTGCAGCTACACTACTGAAGTTTTGCGATGAGATTTAAACAAATTTAGGTGAGCACTGTATGAGGACAGACCTGCCTTTTACGATTTTTTAGAAGCTGACGCAGCTGCATCTCAGCTTTTAACAAGGAAACTTTTTAAACAGCTGGGGTGGTTTATAACTCCTGTTGAGTTAGGAGCATTCAAGCACTTAACTAACCGTAAGTTCACTCTTGGGTATATTATAGTTGGCCTTTGGCCTCCCAGTTCCAGGCGCTCCTTCTCTGTCTTATCACGACAAGGCATCAAGCAGCCTGGAACGGGGACTAGGGGAGACACGCCGCTCCCAAGCTGAATGGACCGACAGCGATCACGGCACCAAGGTAAAGGGATCTCCTGGCAGCCCAAGCGAGCACCACCAGCCACATTAAAACACGAGGTGGACCTCATTACAACTCTGTAACAATAATCTGATCTAGAACAAGACTTAGCAGGCTTTCATATATAGAGATTGATCAGCAGAATAAGGCTTTATCTATCGATCCATCTTAGCTGCAACTTACATTCTTAACTGTGGGTATAAATATTTCCATGCACTTCAAGACATTTTAAAATTGTAGTCTGTTCCCTATGACTTTCTGTAATGGCTATAAATAGAATTATTTTATTGCCATTACAGATTTTGTGATTCTACTTTCTGCAGTTTGAAACGACCCTACAGCGTTCAGTTATATAACAGTATATGTTTCATGCCTGCACAGAACAGTTTTATGAATTGGTCTACATATATAACTACGGTTCTGTTTGTTCTCATAACTGTTGTAGAAGCACGGGAAAGTCAAATACTTGGCAAAGACTCCAACACCGTTATGGGGAGCGGGGTAGTTACAACTGTTCCCCAGCTCCACATCCCCAAAAAGACAAACTTTGACATGTTTTTTTTAATCGGCTGGTCTTCCAAATCTATGACGTATTCTTTTTAATGAATGGTACAGAGGTGTTTCCGTCATCCGCAATTGCTCAAACCCGCCATCAGTACTTCACACATCGCGGGGCTGGAAAACAGGCACAGACCAAATTAAATGCATATTATTAATGCATAAATGGGGAGGTTGGGGGATTAAACGGCAGCATTAGGAAACGGCGGTTAGCCGGCGTGTTAGAGGCTGTTTTCTCCTTGCATGTTCCCACTCACCGTTTCCCTGCACGGCGGATCTCAGCTTAGGGCCGTAATAACGCTGGCTTTGGCTACGTCCCCTGCCATCAGCGGGACGTACTAAATACGCTTTCGTTGCAAAACAGAACAAAAGCAAATAAATGGAGAGTGATGCATGCATTTTATCGCCTCAACCGCCAGTCTGCCCATCTCCCAGGCAGCCGATAGTCCCGCAGCACTTACCGCATCGTTCTCCACCACACCGCTGCGTGTCCGACAGTAAAGGCCGGGCGACCAGATCGCTCTACAGCCGTGTGTGCACCCTCTTTAAACAAACGTGTGGTCTATATAATCACATTTAAAAAAAAATAATACCATTATGAATGATTGCCTAAAGCTAAGCATAAAGCTCGATATGTTGTGGGTGATCGAGCTTGGTAACATTTAATGTGTAACCGAGCATGTAATGTATGACTGATGCATCGGTAAAGCTGCCTTTTCCGCGTCGTGTTTTCCATCTCGGTCCGACGAAGCAGCCGCTAGCTAGGCTATGCGACATATCCATTCCGAAGTGTAATACATACCGACGGAGAGCCATGCGAGGACACCGATGGCGTCCATGGCAGCCGGTGCTCCGTGCTACGCGGCGATCGCTGGCGCTACGGCGGCTCCGGGCATCCCCCACCCCGCCCGCCTTACATTCCACCCCGCTCCATCCCTAGCAGCGGCCCGCAGGAGGCTCTACGGGATCTGGTTGGTGGGAGGGTCCGAGCATCTGGCACAGATGCTGGAAAATGGGGTGCCATGTTTAAAGGAGGGGGGCTGCTGCAGGGCCAGGGGGACGCGCCCCACAGCCGCCCAGGCTGAGCCTTCAAGCGCCGAACATACGAACACCCAACATTTTTTAACGAAACCTAGTTATGCATTTCAGTTTGCAGTGGAAAACGTTTTACAATATCCACATATTCTTCTTAATAAGAAGAGCGGTCATCCAGAGAGTATACCTAAATCACACCAATCTATATCTTATTGCAATTAAATAGCCTTAACTTTTGTCCATTTATGTAACTGGACATGCTCCTGGAACAATTCATATTTAGTTAACTTTTATGGTAGCTTAGCAAACGTGTCTCCAGGCAGCTTTCAGACTGCCATGCTAATTGCTACACAGCAAAAAAAAAAAAAAAAACTATAAGCCGCAGGATTTCTAGTTTATTGTTCTTGCTACCTCATCAAATCACTGGTCTATACAGAAGTGAATACCGGCAATCAAACTAAAAGCTTAACGCTATTATTTCGTATTTTCCCTTCCCGGTGTGCATTAACATGTAATTTACCTATTGAACCCTCAAGCAGACAGAAGGCACTTGATGCAATAAACCAATAAAGATCGTGGATTTTAAACTTGCATGAACAAGATGTTAAATTTATTTACTTTTTATGCCTGTTGAATATGTTAAATTGTAGGAAGAATTTCAAAGATTGATTCTGTATTGCTGGAATATTAGAGACTATATTAAAAACGTTGGTATTCTAAATTATTTCAGTGATGACTGGCTTGGAAGCTAGTTTCAATATGATAGCATATAGCCATCACCCAACCACCAAGAAGCTAACTATTTCTAGAGCCATACCAATGACCACCATCTGGCGTGACAGTCACGCTTTCAGACTCTCACACTCAAGCAAAAAATCTCACAGCAAATCTGTATTATTCCGTTATAAACCTAAAATGAGCTACACCAAAAGCACTGGGGTAGTTCACAAACCCTACAGACTATTTATAAGGTAATAAAACTGCTACATGCATGTAAATGCGTGTGCAGACTTGTCTCGAATTTAAAATCTCATGCCAGCCAGCTGACCAAAGTTGGCAGCCCTGCCACCAGCTGCTACTGTGAGACCTAGAGTTCCAAGACTAACATCTACTGCAACTATCGAGGGAGAACAAGGAGTGTGTGATATGCTATGCACTCTAGTAATTGAGTTTTGTTTTTGGCTTGATATTGCAACTCCATTCGCATCAGTCTGGTACAGTATGATATTGGCACAGGCAAGGCGACACCAGAGCCTCAGAAGACCTTTCACCCCTTCTCTAGCCTGACCTCAAGGAACCTGAGGAATAAGATGGTGGACATGGCTGCAGCTGGAATATTATAACCAGCTGGCAGCCTCTAGGACTCACTCCCCTGCTGTCCTCGTGAGAGAGAGATGGGTCAGTGCACTCTTACATGGACTATAGATGGCTCAAAGCAGTGACTCAGAAGGTTTTTATCCTGTACAAGCGTAGTTTAGCTCCTGACCTGAGAAATCACTACTGCCAGGTGGGTCTGGTACCAGCGGTGCAACCCAGGACTGCTCTCAGCATTAGACAGGAAGTGATGTCGTTTAGCCCCTGTAACAGTCATCTTTTGAAGTTTGATGTTGTCACCTTAATGGCATCTTCGTGCACACCTTCTCAATTGAGGAGTATATTGCTAACCTGTGTTGAGTGCTAAGGCGTTTATTCCCTAATCTGAAGGATCTGGAGGTCTTATTGATGGTTGAAGGAATTGAGTGACTCCACTGGAAAAGAGGAGACTTTACTGCCTTGACGCCAATCATTTGTGGTGAAGGCCAGCTTGCTGAACAACAGGAGCCTGGATTTAGAAGGGAAGTTCAGAAAGCTGTAGTTTGTCACCCCAACCTCCCTTTGGGCCAAAGTGCAGAAGCTGGTTCAACACATACAGTATGTGACACTATTCATAAGCCAACAGCTACTGGAAGAGCAACAGTCAAGCGCACAACTTCAAATCCAAGGTGTCTGGAGAGTTGTGTCATTGGGAGTCTATTTCTGTGGTATATGTCTGTATGAGAGAGCCATGGGTGGATTAGGGAACTTAGCAATTCTTTTATGGTAAATAGGTTTGTGTCTTTGTGGTTGGCGACAGTTGTTGATTATGTCAGACGTCACACTGAATTTTTCACTTAATTTCTTTTCATTTTGCATTTTTTTTTATAATTGTGGAGGGCTTCCCAACCAAACTGCACTAATTCTGAGAGATCCATCTTTGTTCTTAATGCTGGCATTGCATAATACATCTCGGCTCTTTGGAAAGCTGATGGTTCCGTGTCTGGTCTCTAACTGCAGTCTTTGCCTGTGTCTCTCTGCCCCCACACTGAACAGCAGCGCAGGCAGGTAGCTATGCGGGTATATTGCACAGAACGATGAATGTGCTCCTCTGGCACAAGAAAGGGCTGCTTTGCATTGTCTTTTTAAAAACGGTATTTAATGGGTACCACTCTTGTATTTAAATTATTTCAACCACATGAATCTGAAAATGATTGTACTGTTCTGCTGTTCCACATTGTGCCTCGATTCTAATTTTTTATTTGAGGCACAAACGTGCTATTTTTCTATGTTATTTCACAGTAATCAAATCTTGAAGGGGGATAGATATAACGGCATCTTTCTCATTCTGCAGAGGCATTACATACAGGTTTTTTAAAAAAGATTATTTTTAGGTTGCTTAGCAACATTGACAGACTCTGGAGCTGTTAAGTCAAGCAGAATACTAGGGGATTCCTTAAATGCTGTCAGCTTTAAATGTTGACACTTGTCAATAGCATATTGATAGGTATATATGGCTGATTATTAAATGATCAATATATAATTTTCTCTGGTGATTTATTAGTGATATTTTATGGCTACACTTAATGAACTTATATACAAGAAAATAAAACAAAATTTTCAGATCTTCTTCGTCTTGGGACCCCTTTTCTCTCACTCACTTGCCACGTCCCAAACATGCAGAATATATCTATTCTCAACAATCCTAGAAATGCATCATCATGTGACCTTCAATAGTACAGTATGTTCACTTTGTTCCTATGCCCGTAATAGAGAGCTACAAGCCTGCAGCTAAGTGGTTGATTTATTTATTTTTTTACATAAAGTTTCCTTTCACATATGTCCCTTACTGTGCAATCCTCTAAAATATTTCTCTTTTTCCAGCCACTCTTCAGTATTCTTCACAGTCTATTAGTGTCGAGCTTGGTCATCAAAATAAAACTTTAAAATATACTATAATTGTATATAAGCCTTGTAACATGTATAATGGGTCTTTTTCATAGACATAACAGGATTCATTTCAGTCTGACAAACATTTGGTGGAAAAATATCAATAGAGTTTACTTTAGTGTTACGGTTAGTTGGGAATATTAACTACTTTTGTACATGCTGCATAAATCGCTATACATGCGTTTTACGAATATTATTTTATTATTAGTAGTAGTAGCAGTAGTAGTATTTACTTCTAAACGTTAGTGTATAGCCCGTTCCGTTAAGATTAAAAGTAAATTGCTTGCCCATAATATTTAGATATTTACTTGGAAAATAATTATGCATTATGTAAAATGCAGCTATAGTCGACAATAGTAAAGGTGAGAATGGTTTAATATTGGGCGTTCGAAAAAAACATATACGGTAATTAAAAAAAAGATCAGTTTCAACTGCGGTAACGCCACACATCTGGTTATGCATGGCGATGCATTAAAACATAAATTGCATAGAAAAGCATCTAACAAAAATAAACATCAGTATCGGACCACTATGCTTATCACAGCAGTTAAATTGTTCTGATATTTATCCCAGACCGCAGTTTATAAAAACACCCTCTTGTGCAGCTTATTGGGTTAAACCATTGCCATGTAAGGTGAAAAATGTATCAAATACGAATTGCTGTGGGGACAAAAATATAATTGTTGGCCAAATAAGTGAGAATATTTATACATATAATCTTGTAAGAGTACCAACAGCATTTTTTATGCTTATTATTTATTTATCTATACCGAATCAAGTGATTCGTTATCAAAACACCCCTATTGTGCGTGTGGCGGCGTCAACCATAGCCTGCAATGGCGTTGTCTGGCGGTGTGCAGCGTTGCTCTTCTATGTTAAATTGTCTCAATAGGCGGAGTACTGGACTACGGCTTGTGGAGGATTACAGGCAAGGCTGAATGAAGATGTGGGCTCTGGGTAGGGGTCTTATCAGCGCTGCCTATGTAAGGTGAATCTTACATCAGATATGCCACATGGAATATTAGATATTTGTCATAGCATCTTTTATCAACGATGCAAGGCACGTAAGTGACTCTTTTGTTTTGTACACTGTAGCAACAGCTTTTGAGTGTAGCTATAGTTAACTTCTGCTTTTTTGCTGACATTCTGCAGAATGCTTCCATGTGCGTTTAATACACATTCTCGCCATAAAATATCACCCATCGTTTGTTTGAGACTTAAATTATATGGTTGTTTTAAAACTGACATTTAATATGCTGAATGACAGTCGCTGGTGCTTATTCACTGTGCCATACTTCGGTACGCGATTTTCATACATAAATCGAAAGTTCACTCACAGTGTGGCATCTACCGAATAATATGCTGGGTGGTGGTTCCATATACAACATACCCGTGGTGACTTCAGGTCATCCTTTATCTATGTAGTCGATATAATAACGGTATCGATATGGGTGTAGAATTGAGTGTAATAAAAGCATGGACAGCAGGATTCATCAGCAGTGTCTGAATTAATGCATGTAATATATATATATATATATATATATATATATATATATAGTTGAAGATATGTCTTAGCCTAATGTTAACGGGGTATCGGAAATAGAAATAGGGATGTTTTCCAGAGTGTGTTCAGGTGTATCGGTAGAACAGCTCGATGTTTATTTACCACCTATCAGCTACTTCATTGAAATGTTAACGTGAACGTACTAAGTATTATATCCGAGATATGCATGGTCGACCTTTATTGATGCTGTATTACGTACGCAGTATCGAAACAAGCACGGAAAATGTTTAAACAGATTAGGCTACTGGTGCTGCATGGTTATTGAAACTGCAGTGTGCAAACGGAGGTGCGCTTAGTTGTATATGTCTGTCTACCCGGATTATACTGACAGACGGACGCGTTTGCGATCGGTATCGGAGGGGTGATGATGCAGAATATCGTCCGTGAGATACGGGTTACGGGGGTCTCTTAGACGGCTCTGACGAGAGAAATGGCTCTGCAGCTAATACAATACAGCACCTTCACCTTTATCTCTGCGTGTTCATCATATTGATTCGTGGAACAAATACTTATGGTTACATTAATTGTATTAATTGACTTATGGACGACATATGTCTTTCACTTTTATAGAAATATCTGATATAAGTATGTCAGGTTACACGAGTCACTGCTTTGACCCATCTATAGTAGACTGTCTTTTAAGTTAGACAATATACCGACAATGAACATATAATTTACAGACAATATACAATATACACGCCATATGGTGTGTGTGTGTGTGTGTGTGTGTGTATATATATATATATATATATATATATATATATATACATATAGTCAGACATATTTGAGTGAATGCTTCAGTTATTTAAACTGAGCACAACATATGAACGACATGCTGTTTAAAAACAAAAAAAAAAAAACCGAAATACGTTTTCTTCCCCCAGGTGCGTCTATTTATTACTGTATTTTAGATTTTTTTCTCTGAATGATACACTTAAACATTTTATTGGGACAGTTACTTAATTTCGACTGAATTGTCAATTAGTAACAGTATTAAGTCTGTATTTTAGAATTGGTAGAGTGCAAAATGAGTTTACGTCCATCTGCACTGTCACTCGTTAATATAATTTCATATCTAACCAGAAGTTTCTTTCATTACCAGGTGAGTTTCCGATCGGAACCTTGCTTAGGAAATATGGAGAGCATGGAATGAAGGACCAGCAATGGTGAAGTCTTCACCATTTCTTAAACAAGCATGATGAAAACAGAGGGTTCTGGGGAAAGGTCCACCCTGCGGAGTGCTTCTCCCCATCGGAACGCCTACCGAGCCGAGTTCCAGGCCCTGAAGAAGGCCTTCGACCAGCCCAGGCAGGATGGAGAACATAAACACAAGGACCCAGAAAAGGCCAAGCAGCCAAGAGGTCGTCAGTATGGCAGCCACGTCAGCCGCATTAAGGACATGTTCATGCAGATGGGGACAGATAAGCCCGGGGCGGCCTCCAAGAGCAAAGGGAAGGACGAGCCGTCGCCACAGAAGATCACCAAACCCACCAACTTCGTCAACAGGGCCGACGGCTCCGTGGTCAAGCTGCAGCCCGCGCTTGGCGAACGCACCGCCAAGTTCACGGAGACTAGGAAGATCTTCGAGCAGAGCACCCGCGAGATGTCGCAGTCGCCGGTGTACTGCTCCGGTCGTGAGAAGAGAAGCCTGCAGGACCACGCGGAAGAGTGGAGGGGCACGCGCTCCAACCGGGGAAGCACGGACTCCCTGGACAGCCTGTGCTCGCGGACGGAGGCCGCGTCCCCCACCGTGAGCCAGCTGAGTGCCGTCTTCGAGACTGCCGACCAGCAGCACGCCGTGGGATTCAGGAGGAGCGCCGGGCGCGCTCTCTACTCTCCCGATGGCTTCAACCGACATGCCGAGCTCAGCGAAGACGACGCCAGCTCCCGACAGTCGCCGTCCCACGGCAGCCACAGATACCGCGGCGGTAAGCACGCCATTCCCCCGTCATCGTCCTCGGAGGATCTGCTCAGTCCCAGTCCCCTGTCAGACGTGGCCGATGGTGGCCAGGCTGTCCTGGACGGTCCCCAGCCGAAGGAGGAGGAGCCGAATGAAACTGAAGCAGATCAGGGAGACGGTGAAGGTGTAGGCGAGGGAGAGCGGCCGCAGAATCAGCAGAGGCAGGTGGGCACCTTGACTGAGGCCGTGGGAGTAAGCACAGACTCGGTGTCCAGCAAGGCGGCGGTTTGTGACGCTGTCACCGAGAATGCTCCAGACGCAGTGGCCAACGAGGTCGAGCAAGACGGGCAAGGTCACGCCGCGCAAGGCCTGGCGAAAGATCCCAACGAGGACTACACCGGCAACGAGAGGGTGATTTTCAACGCGGATGGCGATGCTTGTTACCAAGGCTGGGGAGAGAGCTGCACAGACCCTGAGGATGACGAGGACACATGCTACGACCCGGGCTCCGAGATCACGGAAATCCCCGGCTTGCTGGAAGAACCGGAAGACGAGATCCCCAAAAGGAGGAAAATCAGATTCAGTACTGAGCCAATGACGGTCAGTGTCTCATTATTCTGAAAGATGATGTTACACAAGGTGAACATTTAAATCAGTGGTTCTCAGTCCTGTTCTTGGTGCCTCCCACCAGAATGTTTTCATTCCAACCCTTCCTTAATCAGGCTTAAATGGGTTAATAATGAATGATGCAGGTTGAAAGCAGTGTGGGTTGGAATGAAAACATTCTGGGTGTGTGCAGGAACAGGATTGAGAACTACTGATTTAGGTGCTCTTAAACTTTGCTTTTTTTCCTAGCAACACAAGCATAACTGTAATACATCTCGCTGCAATTGTAATTGATATTTAAATGACCCTGAGAAAGATTCTCAGATACGTTATTTGTCATTAGGAGACCTTGAATTGGAAACTCACTTCACGAAGCTTACTGAACACGATTATTGGATTACAGTGCATGGCACATTAATTATTGTATGGCTTTTATCCCGTTACCTGTTTCTAATGGACCCTTAAAATGGGAAGAGAACAAACTGTCTGAGCAAGTTGCATGCTGCTTAAGGACACGGCACTGAAGGCTTCGTCTTCACATGTGGCCTTGCTGCCGTTCCCCCGAGGAAGGTGCTTAACAGAAATTTCTCCGGTAAAATACTGTGCCTTTAAAAAAAAGCTGTAAGTCACTCTGGATGAAAGATTTAGCTAAGCTAAAGAAAATAGCAATTAAATAGCATGATTACCGGCGAACCACTTGAACATGTCAAGGTCTAATGCGTTTTGCTATGAAATGGTAGCTAAATTTCTAGTATGTTAAAAGGAAATGTGCTCTTTAATGCGTGACAGACGTGTGCTATAGTCCCCACAAATGATGCAGCACATTTCACCTGGCTGTGCTGTTTGAAGACAGCCAGGTACCAATGAATATGCATCGGTTGTGAGCTGTGGCCTGTATTGGAGCTATTTTGACCTTAACGTTCATGAATCTCATCTTAACTTCGTGATGTTGGATCTGGGCCTTGTACCTCCACCGTGTCTCTTGATAATGTGAGTTGATAATAATGATTTCTCAGTTATTTACGCTGATGAACCTAGTGGACTGTGATGGCAAGAATGCCGAACGTTAAGGTACATTATAGTGTAGTTGAAGCGCTGATGATTGTTTGAGGGTACGTGGTCAGTTCATGTAGGGGAAGAATTTAGAATTTGGATCGGCCCGTTTGTGGTTGGTTCCTATGCTTGTGTGCTGTTCTACATCACCTGGGTTTCTCAGTGTCAAGAATGAGAAGAACTATTTGCGAGGCTCGCCGGCAGATCGGCTAACGGAGTCATGCGATTTTGGGAGGGAACGGGAGCTTTATTTGGGGACAGGAGCGAAGTGGGGGGGAGGAATGAAAATTGGCGGCTGCAGTTTGGGTGTCAGTGCTGGTGATACTCAGAAACGGGACGGGCATCAGGTCATGGGATGGACGCAGCTGCTGGCCAGGTTGGGCATCAGTCCATGAAGACCATGTGCACCCCCACCCCCTAAATTACCCTGTTCCTATTATTATCTGAACTCCAACAATCACTTTATATGTAGTCTGCTAAAATTTCAGTAGCTAAATCAGTCAGTTGTTTTAATTATCCATCCATCCATCCGTTCATCCATCCATCCATCCATCCATCCATCCTCTATCAGCTTATCCTGATCAGGGTCACGGGTTGCTTTAATTGTTCTTCACAGTATATGCTGCGCTTACATTTCATTAATCAAAATGCATTCCATGCTATGCTCAGTTTAGTTTCGCTTTTTGGGCTCACAGTTATTTATAACCTGGCTGTCTCCTGGTATTGTAGTACACCGTATTTATATTTTTAAATAAAGGATTAGCCTACTGCATGGTACAGTGCATAGGGTGTGTGCAGTTGTACAGTGTACAGAATGACCTCACAGCAGCACATTAAGCACGCCTTATTATTTGCGTGTGTCCGGTCCAATGAATGCGGCAAATTAAAAGAAATTATGAGGTAATTGGTCTGTTGAAGTTTGGGAAGCTGTTCATGTGCTCTTTAGATAGACTTTGTTGAGTTCTTTATGTTTCAGACAGCAGAAGGCCACTGTTCATTAATCATGCTGAATGTTTAACTGGATCTGCACTTTTGCGGAGCAGAAACCTCAGCTGGGCCGTTCCTCCAGCGTCCTGACAGTAACCGGGGAGTGACGGAGTACGCCTGCTAGCCTTTGCTATTCACGGCACGTTTCGCTGTTCAGCACTCTCTATGATAATGGAGGTTCTTGTTTGATTATGAAAAGACAATGTGAAGCTGGACCGTAACCCGAGTGTCGTGTGTCTGACCCCGGAATCGTGGCCGCCGCAGATCTTCAACATGAACGGCTACAATTTTCTATCATCGTTACCTGTAACTCATTTCCTGTGTACCCACTGAAATACCCCAAAAGTGCAACAGCTCGCTGTAAGGTATTGTGAGTTTGTCTCCTTACTGTGTGTCTGCTCCTCTGAGTGATTTCTCCTGCCTGTCCTATTTAAAATCACCAACCCTGTGCCTGGTTTCTCGAATCTGGTTTTGGATAACTATTCTGCTGTTCTTCTGTCCTGGCTGCACGATATCGGGAAAATATCATTAATGGCGATGTGATTTTTTCTTTTTTTTTGCGATAAATATTGCGATATTTATAAAGCAGAAAAGGAGCTGAACATTCACCTAAAATAAACAATCACCAAATAGAAGTTATCTACCAATAGAATCAAAGAAGTTGCTGGTGTTGCAAGTTGTGCTGACAGATGACTTGGCTTTGCTGAATGTCATCTCTCTTTAATCCAAAATATTTCGGTACAACGGAAGACAGATGGATTTTAGTGGCCAGATCTTCTTTGCTTTGCTCCTTCCCTCTCATTTTGTTAAATCTGTCATTGATGCATCTATGAGTGATTTAAACAGTTGAGAAAGCATATGCAGAGCTCATGCAAAAGTAATAGCGTTAAGCATTATGCAGATTTTTACATATACAGTGGTACTTCGACCCACGAACTTAATTCGTTTGAGGACTCAGTGCGTGACCTGAAAAGTTCACGACCTGAATCATAATGTAAATACAAATAATTCATTCAAACCTAAGAAACACCAATTTTCTTCAATTTTTTAATGTTTTTCTGTGACCAAGAATATAGACTTAAATTATACACAAATAGTGCTAAATTAAATAAAGCAGTACAACTGAGCGTACACTTGTTGGCGGGCTGGTCGCTTGAAATTAAGACGCCAAAACACGGAAAAGAACCACAAAACATCCCCCCCAAAAAACTAATCAATTAACATGAAAATACTGAGAAACAGTCAAAAACAATACAGTAATTTAAAAACTTGATTTTTTTTTTATACTGTACATTATTTTCATATGCCTAAAATGTTTACGTACATTTCGTGATGCCACACGTTGTATGATGATGAACTTCTCTGTTTGTACTGTAAACAAACAATATGCAGTTGCCACTCTGTGTGAATGGAGAATATAACACTGAAATAGGAGTTACTTCATAATTTGTGTTATTAATGAAGTATTGTAATTTTATGCATAGATATGTGACTGTTAAAAACCATCACAAGCATGTTTATCAATCACTGAAAGGTACTGCTATAACAGAACGTTCTCTCTCTCTATTTTTTCTTTTTTCAGATATTCGACCTCTGAAGAAATATAATAAAAACATACATCTACAACAAGTTTTTTATACATTCCACATCCGTTCTTGGGCATAATGTACAGTACACGTCTTTGTGTTTCTGGTGGTTCTTTGGGGCGCTTTTGGGGGATGTTTGTGTGTTCACAGCCCGAAACACGGTTCGCGAAACGGTACAAAAAATTTTCAAACATCTGGTTCGTAACCCAATTTGTTCGTGAACATGACTGTTTGTGGGTCGAGGTACCACTGTACTAGATAATCTTGAAAAGGAAAAATCATTAAAATTGCAAAGCTTGCTAAGTTTTATTTTCTATGACAGAGCAAAAATGTTTTAGCAAAACTTAACCCCTCCACCCAATGTATGAAAAAACCTGATGTCTACCCAGCTGAGTATCGCGGTCCTTGCCATGTAAGAATTGCATGTGCATAACATGCAATGTCAGTATTAATATCGCACATGTCCAGCCCAAGTCCCAGCACAGTTTCTGGTAAATTATTTGGATAACAAGTTTTTGGATTCCATTTTGCCTCTCTGGGGAAAATTACCAATGGATCACCGTACACATGGACGTTCGTATAATTTCTTGACGCTGAGTATTGAGATTAATGAAATTCTTATGTTCCAAACCGCTCGTGACAACCAACAGACCGTATTTTGGCTTTTATGATGATGCAGCAATCAAGACATCACAGTCTGCGCACATAGTACAGTACAAAGAAAAATCGCAAGCAAGACACTTAAAAAATAGACTTTGCTTAATTTTACTTGAGATTGCTTGTCATAAGTGATACGATAAATCTTCTCCCCATCCAGGCTGCTCGACTTTAATTAATCTTGGGAGTCTTTGAGGATGTAATCAAGGCTTCCTCACAGCGTTTGACTTTTACTGCGATGACTCCTGAGGAGTTACATTTAGTGATTCTCCACGCTCTCAGGACAGAAGCCTTAGTGATGTCGACAGTCAGACTACAGAGGCCAACCTTGCATTATTGCCAGTCACCGCAGTGTTCGGCTGGACCCTTAAGCCGCGTATTTCTCCGGCAAGATGGTTTATGTTTTAGTAATACCTTGCTTTTCATGTTGTGTTCACATAATGAGTTTGCAGCATAGGCGAAAGCTGGCAAATCAGCCCAAATCGGCCTTTCAGCCGCCTCATGTGTAACACTCGCCATTCGCAGTCTGCCCGGCGTATTGCGAGCTGCGGGTCTCAGGCCCTGACTCACAGCCCTGCTGACGCTCCCTGTCTGTGCTAGACAGCCGTGGGCCGCCGCTGAGCAGGAAGGTGGATGGTCAGTGATGTAACACAGGGAGTGCAGGATACACGTGGTTCAGGTTGCCATTCTCACCTTCCTTAACGAAAACGG